TTAGAATGACTATTACCAAAAAAATAAGGAAACTAGAGACTCTTGAAACTAGAGTAGAAGTAAGAAAGGAATTGACAAGAATAAAAGTGGCTTCATTCTTACCTCTATATATACTATCTACCTAAGATCTATGTACAACATTCTATAGAACCTCCAAAAATTTGTTGACTTTGCATGACATGTATCTTAACTTGCAAGGCAAGTTTTCTATATAGGCACCACATAGCTAGCTTGTTCCAGAAGCTACCAACACATATGGCACATGGTTAACTTATTAATCAAGTTTCTAATCTATCAATCAACTACAAATAGATGTAAAGTCAAAATAGCATCTACGAAACTTCTAAAAAACTTTTCTAAAAGATATTATGAAATTAATCTACTTTTATCTACTTTTACTTATTCATGTTTTCTAGATAACAATTATAATAGATATATATCTGTAAGATAATCATATTTTCATCTTTATACATGTCGATAGGCGATTGATAGGTTAAAAACTTGGCCAACAAATTAGCTTGTGTCACATGTATTAATAGCTTGTGGAACAAGCTCACTATGTGGTATACATATAGGAAACTTGTCTTATAAGTTAGATATATATCTTGCAAATTAGATACGTGTTGGAGGTCCAATAAAACATTGTCACATAGTTCTGAGGTAGATAATAAATATAGAGGCAAAAGTAAAGCTTTCTTCACTTTTATCAATTCTTTTTTTGTGTCTACTCTAGTTTTAAGAACCTCTAGCTTCTTCGTCTTTGGTAATAGCCATTTTAATTTCTTATTAAATATATTTGCTTTTTTATTTTTATTTTTTTATTTTTTTTATTTATTTCTTATTTATTTATATATCTTCTTTGAATTCTTATTCTTGATACTTAATACATGCCATCTTGAGCCTAATTAGCATGAAGCAACACATTAAATGGCTATTGTTGATATTGTCTTTAAGGACATTTTGCTCATTCTAAGGCAAAGCAATCTAAGCATACATATAATAGCAAAGACCATTCATAACAATAGATACGCATCCAAAAAGCTGAATTTGGATGTGGCCTACCTATCTTTCCTATTATGAATTAATTTTAGGAGAAAAAATTTACTTGTAACTATGATATCAATAATGTTGATTAAATTAAACACCTATTTTTTACACACCTTAATTATGTGAAGCTTGCCTCCAAGTAACTTTATACCTTAGTCATGAACTATATCTACAAAACTAATTGATTTTATATGCCAATATTCCATGTCATTGGCATGACAAGTTTCAACACTTCATACATTATTATCATTGCTTTTATAAAAGAAGAAAGTAAAATATACTATTAATAGATGATTGAATAACTTATCAATCTTTATTACGACATCAAGCTAGTAACAATAAAAATCAAGTACAAATTGACTCTCATGAATGTGCTGTCAATTACCTTTTAATTTGATATAGTGCTTCTTTATGTCTAATATATTCAAAAGAATGTTCTTATAAATTGTAAGAAGTATTTTGAGACAGTATTGTGGTAGAAAGAATTTACTTTAAAAAAGTGTTAGGCTTTTGGTTGTTACTAATTACTCAACTAAGCCTCTAGATAAAAAATATATATATATACCAAGTCTATATATAAAATTTTTCTTATAAGGGCAATTACATCAATACATAAGCTCTAAGTACCAAAGATCACCAAAAATGTGATAAAAATATTATAAAACCTTGTATATCTTTAAGGTGAATTTTTCTCAAACTTCAATAGCTCATATCTCACGATTGGGCTGTCTAAAAAATCTAAAATTTTACATGGAGTACTGATATACTTTTAAAAACTACCACAACAAATTTCAACAATAAATTCATTATGAATCTTGAGATATTGCCAAAATCCTAACAATAACTTCAAACCCTTGCTTGTATACACTCATGTGCAATTTTCTTCATATCTTACTCACTAAGTACTCAAATACCACAAAGCTTTGATATATAGCTTCTTAACATAATAACACACACTTTTGAAAATTTTGAGCCAAAAATTCATATAGAAGCTCAAGATATGGATTCAACTATTACTGTCAATAAAATGACTCACTTACTGCTTTTGAATTACATGTGCTATTTTCAACAATCTATAAATTCTTCATATAAACTTTAAATACAAAGATTCTTTCACAAAAGATTTAGATCTTAAAATCAACCTTATAATTGTACTTTTTGATCTCCAAAATCTATCATAAAACTCCTTGTATTCTCAAAAGAGCAATAATATGACTTAAAAAGACACCTTAACTTCAAACAACTATAACTTCATCACCCTAATTCTAAATCCTCTAAAATTTGTATACAAATTGTAGTCCAAATCCTAAAAATTACAATTCTTACTTTTTATTCTTAAAATTTTCTTTTGAAGTTGCCAAAATCCTTGTTATGGTTGCAAATAGCTTGCTAAATGCCTATTAGACATGGCCTTCTACTAATAGAGATGATCTTTACCTTTAGCCTTCGTCCATCCATACTTTGCTTTCATCTCTCTAAATAAATTTCTTAGAGGTTTAAATCTTCATCTTTGAGCCTCAATCTTCTCCTTAAATTTTATATTAAATATCTAAATCCTATATAATTTAAAGATTATAATCAATATAGATAAACCTCAAAATAATTTTTTTAAAATCAATTCTTTTAAAATTAACTCACTAATCACTCTAAAGTACATCAATACTTATAAATATATTATCTATTTTATTTAATTTTTATATACTATAAATAATTATAATATGATAATATACAAAAAATAGAAAATATTTTGACAATCATAAAAAAATATTATTTAATCACCAATAATTGAAATCTTCATCACTCAATAGAATATGCTTTGTCAAATGTATGTGAGTATCTCCGTTATATTTCAATATCTTCAAACAACTTGGATTACACACTAGGAGTGCTTTGTGGTAGCCTATATAATTTGTGTAATGCATTTTAAAAATATCAACAACTCTCAAGCAAAAAGCATGTATTCTATGGTCAAACACTACCTACAAGTCTTCACCAAAGACCTTCAAGATGTTTAAATTTGACTTTTTCAAGTCTTTGAGAATTGTATCAAGGAAACTAAAGTACAAGTAAATATGGAGCAGATTTGTATTGGTCACTAGTACAACCACAATCTATATAAGAACATTTTGAGATAGATCTCATTCTACATATTCAATCTGGTTACAAAACATACTAAATACACTTAAAAAGATGCCCTCAATTATTGTTGTCATTCTTTTATGATTATAATGGGCTTGCCTTATTGCTACCAAATATGGATTAAACTTAAATCAAAGGTGCACATGTCTATGGATAATTTCCATCGTCTTTGGCACCTTGTCAATATGCAATGATTTAGACTAGAAGTTTGATCTATATATATAGGTATTTCAAGCAATAAGAGAGTATTGTAGAATGTGGATAGCCATAGATGCATCTTTGACAAGATTTAAGGCAGCTATTAGATGTTAGCACCTCATCAATAAGAGTATGTAAATAATCAATTACTAAAGATGGTATTGTAAACACTAACATTAGAGAATCTATTGGTATAATGTACTTGTGGACATCTAAGAGACTCTACCAAATGGACATCTAAGCAAGCACTATACCACAATAAATCCTTAATACGAAGAAATCCATCCCAATTTGAATTAGTTCAAAGCTTCTCAAGCTGTAGTTGTAACTCATGTACAAAAATACATAGTGTATAATCAAAATAACTACAATACATGTACTTGTCCTAATCATATTATATTCTCACAAAATACTTAATAGTATTTGATTGAAATACAATGTATTTGAAGAAAGTATAATCTAATACAATTTTTTGTAAATAGAATGCAATAGGGTTGGGGGTGTTTTCTACACTCCAAGGAGGCATAGAAGCAAGGTTGAGGACATTAAAGGATGTACTAGTATTTAGCATTACATGCACTTTAGAGTAGCCCAAAAGTCATATAGAAGGTAGAAATAGCAATTAGAGGGATGTATTTAGCATTCTCTAATAAATATTTTTTTATTCTTAATCTTTTTATTATTATTTTTTAAAAAATAAAGTTTTTATTTTATTTTATTTTATTGGTGTACAAAGAATATTGGCCCTTTGTTTTTTTTTGTGTGTATATATATATATATATATATATATAGTTCAATGAAAATAGAAATAATTATATATTTTTAAAATATTATAAAATTCTCTCACTAAATTCATAATTTCTAATTATGACACATACTACCAAGTTATAACATCAAATGCTTCAAATGGATGAAGTATCATAAAATCCTTTTTTTTTCTCTGAGAAAGTACATTTTATAATCTCATCGACTTTCAAATACAGATTTCTTTCTAAAAGATTCAAGAATTTTGATCTCACGCCTATCTTCTAAAAATAAATAAATAAATAAAGTATTCTACTTCTGTAAATATTTTTTATCACCTCATATCATCCGTTGTATTGCTGGCGCTAAAACAAAAGCATACTGTAAAAGCATTCAGATCAGTTCCTTATCCCTGTACTCTGTGCGTACAAAAGCAAAGCTACGTTAAAAATCAGTTCACGGAAACATTTTTTACAATTTCGTAAATTATAAAAAAGAGTTTGAAATGTGAAGATTTTTTTCTTGGCGGTCGTAGACTATCACATTGTTGGTCCTCAAAGTTTGGGTCCCCACTGCGGCGTAGAACCAAAGATGGATAAGCAGTACAGGCTGCACAGAAGCCAAGCATTGGGTCCCATTGCAAGAGGGCGAGGCTTTTCTGCAAGCTCTGCCATCTGTGAGCTCGTAAGCCAGCTTTGGTTACAGGAGTTGTGGAAAGCTCATAGAAGGTGGAAACCAACGCAAGGCAGATCAGACATGTGGGTAAGTGGGTGAGTTCACCACAAGGATTCATCTTAAGCCACTACAAGTGTCAAGGAGAGCAGATTCAGCACTCGCTCCTCTGTAAAAATCAATAAACCAATCAATCAATAAACACAGTCAACAAATAAGTTATGATACTGATAACCCCCACAGCTACAATTTCTCCAGGATCCTCGATTTCCACATCGGTAATGGAGCTCTCTTGGCACCTCTCCATCTCGTGTGCTGGCGAGTTCAATGTGTATTAGTTGTTGTTTCAGAAGTATGAGGGAAGCAACGAAAGTTAAAGAATGTGTACCCTTTTTATTTTTTTCTATCGTTCTCTGGCTCCTGCAATGGATTCTCGCCAATTCTGTCTCTCAACCGCGCCGAGGTCTTGTCGAGAACCGTATCTACCAAGTTGAGAGCGACGCCTTCTTCTGGTTGCGACAGTGTTCTGCAAGAGTTTCTTTCAGGTACTGTGTGTAGAGTGACCACCGATGTTACCACCTCCAGTGCTTGTCATGCCTGACTTCAACACAACAGAAGAGCTTGAATTACTGGCTTGGTTGGACAATACACCCACGAGAGCTTTTTTTTTCCCATAGCAACCGACCAAGCAGCCAAATCATGGTTTCGTGACCTCCGCACGCTTGCTAAAAATAACCGTTTCCTGGTTTGCTGCTTTCCAGGAATCAAAACGATTCAGTGACGACCATAATGTGTACAAAAATCATCGGCGTAGAATATGGAGGTGATGTTGACTCATACTGACCTGCACCCAAATCAAACATGACCAGGGTCAAGGTAGAAGATTACCCCAATAGCAGGAAAAGCTGGAGGTAAGCAATCATAGTGTATTCACTAACGAGTCCAGAAATTGGTAGCAGCACACTTGAACGATGGGCAAATTCGTAACACAGGAGAATTAGGCCAGCGAAACGTAAATCCGTGCGTGGGATTACCGGGGGAGTCGACCAACTTTACGATGCATGATGTATTGAAGTCTAGGATTCATAGACGACGGAGGTCGCTCACAAGGAGGGCGTCGTAGTCGGTGGGGCACCTGATCGATTGCCTACTACGTGACTGGACAGGAGACTGACGCTTTTTTACAAGCGCAAGTATCCCTCTGTAATCCAATCTTGGTCTTACGACGATGACCACTTCAACGCTGTGCCCGCCGCAGCTGCAAATTCAGTGGTGATGCTGCGTCGGACGAATCTGTGGGACAACACAAATGTTGCCAGGTTGGGGTTGTGACCATACTCATCTGCACCGTAGCGGAGTATGAGAGAAACATCGGACTCCATAGAGAAATTCTCTTGCTTCTTCTGGTCGCAGGCTGCAGTGTGGGGATCGCATATTTCAACTTGGAAGCTCAGCAGACCGTTTGATCATCACCTGCGGTGGTGTGAGAAGAGTTGCTCCTTTTGCTGGCAATTATTTGCACTTTGATGTCAAGTCGCTGTCGATGGAAGTGAATCAGCCGGGTTGTGAGCGAGGCATGGAGCTTAGGCTGAGCAAGGAGATGGCGACGTGAATACGAATGTGAAGAAGACGAGAACGATTTTAGATCTAGGTCGGTGGAGTGGTTAGGGGAAGATTTCAGCGGAGAAAGAGATAGGAAGAGAGAGATGAGAGATTTGGCCTCTTCTCTTGTGCAAACTAGAGCGCCACCAGAAGCAAGATTCTGGCAGTGCCAGAATCTCCAAGTGTACTGCAAGGGCAAACGGTGTCGGAAGAGAATTGCCTTGAAGGCCATCTGTACCCCCTCGTCGTGGCGTCTGCACTCCTCCATTCGTGTCATAGGACGACTGGAGTTTTGATCGCAGGCTCTCAAGCAAGGTCATTCCTAGGACAGCAGATTAGGTAGACGTGCATAGACAGAGATTGAACTCGCATCAGATTACTCTTGCAGGATTGTGTTAACTTTATGAAATTCCTCCGAAGGTATAACTGACGTTGGATCACACCCCGACGTATACACCTCCAGGGATAGTATCCCGGGTGGCGGAGGTAAGCCTCAACAGTGACGCTGGGTTATGCTTGGAGGTTTTCACATTTATCTGTAGCATTTCCAGCGTGTCTACGATGGTCTGTATTTTAGTGACAAAGTTACCAGTGATGGCCTGAGTAACACTTTTCACAATTTGCCAAGGCTGAAAATTCTAGATAAAAGTCATTTTGCCTGCGTTTCCCATGCTTCTACGGCGTAGCAGGATTGTCCTCCCTAGTTGCAAAGTCAAGTACGATGGAGTAGAACATGTGATGACGAAAAAAGTGCTGGTCGAGGAGAGGAGGGGAAATGTCGTCTGTGAAAACAGCCCACCTCAAAAAAAAAAAACAAAACAAAACAAAACAAAACAAAAAAAAACTCTCTGCATTAGAATGACACGAATTAGATGGAGAACAATCTTTGTGCAGCTTTTCTTTTCCCTCAGATTGGCTACCTTTCCCGTTCTGTGGAAATTTTTGTGTCGCGTTTAAGTTGTGCCATGCTCTTGGGCTGCGCTGTTGCGAGTAGCAATTTTCTCGTCAAACTAGAGTCACAGACAAGGTGAGGAACTCATCGGTAACAGACATGGATGCAGGGAAAAGGTGGTTGCAAGGTTGACGAATCACACTGGCGCGACCAAGATGTACTTCATGGGGCTTGTGAACTCGACGTTCATGGCCAAGAAACCAACGGGACATGTGGAGCTCGTCGCGCTGTCTGAGGAGATGCCAGTGGAGAGATACAAGGACTGGGCCATCAGCAATGACCACAATATCTGTGGCTATGGCTGTCGCGATTGCAGAGCAGGGATCGAGGGTTTGGGGCCTAGCGCCAGCCCACGACGCAGAGCGATAGAGGAGCAACCAGCCGACCTCTGCATGGAGCCTCTGTTTCAACTGGTACGCGAGTCAGATTCTTCGGATTCATCTGAAGGTGATACATCCCTTGTTGCGCACAAGCTCCGAATGCACATCCTGCACGAGACGAAAGCCATGCCATCTTCGTTGGAAAAGGCACCGGTGGAGGTGATGGACAAAGGGTTGGAAAACGAAAAGGATTTATATCAAGAAGGGTCATCCTGCACTAACAAGAGATCAGACATGGTGCAAGCAGAGGAGCCAGTGTCGGAAATGACAACTGCGTCCAATACGACAATAATCAGCAAAATCAGATCGACACCGAAGCTTGAAAGTATTTTTGCAGATGGTCGATTATCCACAAGAGTACAACACCACCCGCTGCTACTGGTAAGGGAGGAGCATGAGGAAAACGCAAGAGCAAGAACAAAAACAAGGGGCATCACCTCAGCTTCGCCTGCTGTAAGAGACGTCACTGTGGAAAGCCCGCCGAAAACTGACGAGGCTCTCGCGAGAGTCTTACAACACCCCCTGCAAGGAACTGTTGAGGATTCTGTGAAGGCCCGAAAGCTAATCGCGAAGATACAAGGCAAAAGCGCTGAGCTATCACAACAGGCTGGTCGGAAAATGGTAAGGAATTCGAAAATCCTCCCCGAGCCACAACCAGATGAGCGAAGCAGGGACAAGTTGCAAGAGAGAAGAATAGCGGCGATCGCGACAACGAAAAATTCGAACTTAGTCCGTGATAACGCAGGATCTGATGAGGAAGAGGAACCAGTATCTTTAAATTACCCAGTTATGGAAAAGATTGAAGGGAGATCATCACCATTGCTCCCTCGCTTGTTGCAAAAAAGGCTTCAGAATCTGCCAAAGTTGGCAGTGACCAGCGAGGACACCAAGCCCGTGCTGGAGGAACGGGAGTTGCGGCACTCCTCACCGATATTGACACAGTTGGACGTTCAGGACGAGCTGTCATTTCGAGTATGGGAGCAGGAGCCGGTACCGAAGCGCAAAACAATTAGCATATCTAGAGATTTCCAGGAGCTTGACCTTGATGCTGGTGATGAGCACGCAAAGCCGAAAGACGTCAAATCGACTGTACTCAATAATGAACGTGGCTCAGTTGTGAAGTCTCGCGGTAGCTTATCGCGCAAGGATGTAAGCGTCACTGTAAATTCTTCGGAGACTACCGAGGTTTTTCAGCCCCTGGAGGTTTCCCTACCAGCATTCGTGAATCTGAACACATTCTCTCAGCTCAACCGAAAAGCAACACCGAATGTGGACGTGAATACCCGGCATTGTAAGGAAGAGCTGCAGCACGATTATCCATCTCCGTCGTCTTTCATATGTGGAACCTCCCCTAAGTCTTTGTTTTCAGACGACGACAGCATGTTTTCAAGGTTTCAGCAGTTCCCCAACTTCGACGCGAGCGAAGTGGCGCTGCCGGTCTGCAAGTCTCCTCGGTCGGTGCTATCCCAAGAGCCCGATGAAATTTCTCATTGCATGTCGGATAGTTCAGAGACTCTCGACAATCGCCCCCTGCACGCGGCCGCTGCAACACTGTCGTGCAACGACGAAGCGTCAGACTTAGAATCGCCCATGAAGTGCAAGAACGTGGACGCAGTGTATAAGCAACGGCCATTTTCGAAGTCTGCTTACGCTGGCAAGAAGACGTTATGCGCCAGGTCTTTGGACGAGGAGAATCCAGACAGAGCACGCAATGGTGCGGCACTGGTGGACGAAGATGTTGCCGATCTTTCAGATTTACGGTACTTTCATGAGGCGGAACAGCGGGAGCCATGGCTTGAGAAGAATGGCGGGGTGTTGGACGACACCGATTTGGACTTCCTCTTGCCTACGGATTTCGAAGAGCTTGACGCAACATCACCAGCACTAGATGCTGTTGAGAGTATAAACTCGGAGGTGATGTTGAACAGCCCGACGAAACCAAAAGGTCAGAACACTTGGATGAAATTCGTGGACGTTCAGTCGCGTGGCTTGAATGATTCACCGGAGGCGACAAAGCACCGACACAACAGATCTTCAAGCTTCCGGAGGTCGAGCATTGAAAAACAAATTCCACCAAGACCTCCCAAGCGCTCGGTGAAATTCGCGCCTGAGCTCGTGCGAGAGCCCTCAACCTTCAAATCCTCAAATCGTCCAAAACCAAAGCCGGCACTTTCACTCCTCAAACTAGAGCCGGCAACTCTGAAAGATGACGATGAGCACATATATCCCAGCGTGAAGAGCTGGGAAGTTGAGGAGAAAGAGGAGCAATCCACACCTACATCATCATCAAGGTCATCTAGACGGTGGCGAAGACATCGCGAGCTGCCAAATGTATCTGGTGATCTATCAGCAAACTCTCCGAATTCACCGCAGGGAGAGATCGAACCCGAAGACAGCCCATCGATCCTCATATCACGGAGACGGTGGCGGAGATTCAGAGACGAGTGGAAGGCAACTTCACCCGGTGACTCAACAAAGTCTGGATGGAGCTCCAGCTACGAACCGCGACACCTGAGCAGGCGTCATAGAATAGTGCAGATCATGCCGTGTGCGGGGAAGCTATTCTCTTGGCCTCACCGACATGCACATCTCAAAACGAGTCGAAGAGGTTCCCTAGTGGACAGTGACAACGAGAGTAGCACTGTGGGAGAAGAAAGCTTTGGCAGATCAGCGAGGAGAGATGCACAGCAAGTTAGGAGAATACTGAAGGGAGGCCAAAAACACTTCCCCAAGGTGACGGTAGCCGAGATTTTGCAAGAAAGTTTTGCGAGTTAAAGCCCATGGATCAACCATCTTGTGTGATTGTAAAATATTCCAAAAAGTTAAAACTGCAACTGCCTGTTTAGACAGATATTCATTTCTCTTTGGGATGATGCTCCGAGTGCATGAGGTAGAGCTTGTCAGCCATAAAAGTTAGATTCAGCAACATGAGTGAAACTAACACATAGAAAACTGCCCCCCCTTTGTACTAATCGTAAATATGAACACATTTACCACTTTCTGATTTGTGCATAACCTTTCCTTGTACAAACCATGTTGTGGACCATGTTTGTTTCTCGTTCTGTCGATGCTCTTAGCATGAAGCTTTTCAATATTGGTTTACGGTGTCTTTTACGTTCTCAATGAATTGTATGTTCATCAAACATTCAGGTTTACTAACAAAGAAGCGCGCCTAGTCAGAAGAATAAACTTTCATTTATCGTCTAGTTTTGTATGTCGGGCCCAAAAATATTAAGAGCTGCATCTTATCATCGATAAACTCCATCACATATCTGACTTAGCAGTTCTATTAACGTGTGACCTTGCAAGAATTTTCAACCAGCTATAGTATGGAGGAATCGACAACCAGGATTTACTTTGTCAAAGAGGAAGTTGGTAGGGTGGCTGTCGGTGAAGAGTAGGAACCTACCAAAGAGGGTTGGGGTTTCCTGGCAGATAGGAGGGATTTGAGGGCATCAAAGGGGAGGTTCTCGGGTTAAGCAAGGCGTTGGAGGGTAGGACATCGTCAGATTCGCATCCACCAGGGGGAAGGCGGTGAAGTCGGAGGGTGGGAGGGTGATGCTAGTAATCGCGATCTGGAGGGCAACTGTGGCGTACAAGAGACTAGCAAAGCGGAAGGATCGGAGGATACTATCTAAATCCTCTAAATAGGGCACTTGGGCTGACGCTAAAGTTGACGCATTGATGGTTAAGAAAAACCGCTACATGCAGGGTATGGCGTAGCGAAAATGCATAAGATGACATATATCTGAGTCTCCACAAACACACGAGCACTGCAAGCATTTCGTTGCAAAAGCTGAAAGAGGAGGAATACAAAACTCTATGGCCTGAATATAATGTCAACAAGCAAGCGCAGATTTAGGTCCACCAAGGACTCACAACCACCACAGGTTAAGAGAGTGCTCTCACTCGACCTGTTGCATCGTCAGTCGTCAAAGGAGGGGAACACTCGAGGCCCAACATATAAAAAAGATCGACTCACTTGTTAAGAAAGAAACTTTAGCAATTAGCTGGGGAGGGAGCTCAAAATGAATTTTGGAACAAGTCTGCAGTAGTTGATAGTCATTAGAAGTCCGACTGCTTTGCTTCGGACCAGCTAAATACAAATCGGCTAAGTCATGGTAGGTTTGTCAACATATTTCTTTATAAGGAACGTGAATTCTGTACTCTGGGACTTCCTAATTTGATCTTAATCATGGTTTATAAGACCGAATCAATGTCTGAAGAATCATGAATGTTTCTAGGATCTGCAAGTATTTTCAGGTGCAATCAGAAACTGAGGTTAAATGAAGAAGGCGTGCAGACAAATGTACAATGAAGAGCATTACATATCTCGACTTAATAAAGTCGGGCACGCAACGCCTGTTCGACTTCAGACCAGTTGTGAACTCTTGTGATCAACGGGTGGGTTGGACCCTGCTCAGTCTTGCTCCAAGGATAGTTCCCGTGCAAATCGAACAGAAGAACCTCGATCCCATGTTCGGCACACTCCAAAGCGTACCGTGGGTTGTCGTCAATGAGAACTTCTACTCCAAGCGACCTAATTACCAGCTCAGTCACAACAGAACTCTCAGAACTTCCATTCTCTCATTCTCTCACTATGCTAAGATACAGAAAGTACGCTGCAAGTGTGTATTGTTAATTCTTATGAATGAAGAATTCAACAATAAAACCTTCACGATATGCTAGATGGGAGATAAGAGTACGTGAGAGAATGACTTCAAGCAATCTAAACCATGTCGATGTAGTTGAACAAAGTACACATGAAAATCGAGAGTGTCCAGCTAAGGATTTGAGTGGTACCTGCAGATTTCAGATTTAGACCGAGCTTCACCCTCCAAGGCGAAATGATTTCCAAAGTGAACCTCCTTGAAGATGCCGCCATAATGCTGATTGATCCAGTCCATGGTTGGCTGCCTTATGACATGTTGCCTGGATCTGAAGATAGCAATACGAACACTTGAGACTGGTTTTAATCGCTACGCATCAGCAACCAGTCAAAGAGTGAAAACAAAAAGAAAAAGAAAAAGAAAAAAGCATCTGTGAACAGCAAAGATTCCAAACAATAACTCAAGCAATCTCACTTTGAAGTCACCGAGTATACCAACCCAAAATATACATGGTCAACAAGGAATCGCAACTGGAAACTAAATCCAAGTTTCGGTACTTACGTAACAACAACGAGGTGGCAGTTCAAAGACAGTTGCTGGAGGGCTTCAAATGCCCCAGGAATTGGTAGAATTCCACTGTTAAAATGCTCCGACTCGAAGAAAGCATGGACACGATCGTTGGCTGCATTTTGTAGACACGACTAACATTTCAAATGACCATTCCCAATGCCTCCAGCTACCCACCTAAATCCAACAGAACTACTGTTTCTACACTAAACATCTGGTTGATACTGTCCTCAGAGGAACCAACTAAGATCCATAATTGTAAGCGTAATTTACCATGAAAACCCTCAAAGAGCAACGGTATCAACCAGATGAATAAATAAACAAAGAATGAACAAGGTATAAAGCGCAAAAAGCTGGACCATTAAGTGCGATCAAACTAACTCAATGTGAATCTGAAGATTACCTTCTGTCTGTGAGCATCTCCAGATCTGCAATCCAGTGGACAAGTTCAAAATCAGTATTTCTTAACATTTGTAATTCATACTGAACCATGTTCGATAGCAGAAAAAGCAGGTGTATATCTCAGCCTGCAAGCATGTAATTGTTACAGGGTTCAGTCTACACGCATCCCCTACCACATCAACCGACTTGATCACTTGGGTAGAAGAGGCAATTGCCTACCTTCATGAAATCATACACATAGTACTCTGACACATTGTGCTGCAGCAGGTATTCTTCGGCGACAAATTTGTTCAAACTGGCTAGGAAGTTCCCAAGCACTGCAAGAACGTTCTCGATTATGATTACAAACCAGTCTAAATTTCGCTTTCCAAAAGTCAACAGTTCATAATCCACATCAAAACACCTTCACAAACCGAACGTCCGCAACATTATTCCTGCTCTTAAACTGACCCGGCACATGCGAAGTATAAGGCTCGGAAACGCGGAATTGAAATTTTGACTTTCATCATTAAAACCGTAACGAATTCCCACCTTCGTCAACATCCACACCGACACGCAGCAGCTTAGAAGGCGCGTTGACCTTTCCGACCACACCTAACATCTGCTCTTGGTCCGTACTCGCTCCTGGATCTTCGTAAAGACCACATTTTGATTCCACGACTTGAGAATCTGTGATGATTGGCACGTCCTGCGCCCTTGCTTCGCCCAGATTTTTCAGGTGCGTGTACAAAGCCATAGGCACTGCATCTGTGCGTCTTCTGCTATCGCCGCCCCGCGAATTGATACATTTACCCCCAGAGCATGACCGCAGAGTACACATTCTAGGAAGTTTGCCATTGTTCCAGACATTTATTGCTATTTTGGTGAATTGTAATGTAGGCAGCGGTAACCATGAGGAACCATCCAACCACCTTGATGTCGGAACCCCTGATGTAATTGCATTCCCGCAGCACCCACATAGGTTGCCACTGCCCACGATGGCCATCTTTCTAGGACAAGACTACCTTGCCTACCACTTGCAAATTTTCCCGCGTCAGTTCGCACTACAAGCTTCCCCCAAAAACTTCCAAGGGTTCCCAACATGTCCTGCTCAATCCAACAATGCACCCGTCGGACGTAATAACCACAATGCGCTCAAGGCGTCATCTTCCCAACGCGAGACTTCCCGTCGTCGCCCTGCACTAACACACTCACGCATTCAACCCTCTGAAGCCAAAGCCACGACTAAGCTGTGAACACGATGCAATTGAATTTGAAGTCCAATGAACTGAATGAGATTCCCAACGGTACCCATCTACAACAATGCACGAGAACAACTTCTACGAAATTCCTGGAGCGCTCCGGACATCCCGAATCTAACTCCTCCAGTGTGCAGATCATTCGAAGAACCACCTCAGATACAGCAAATAATTCCTCGCGAAGAGCGTTAAACTTGCACGCTTAATGGCGAGACTGCTGTCGACAGGCCTCACATGACAACCTCATGCCCTACCTAAGATACACCGCGAAGGGAGATAGATCACTACTACGATCACCTCAAGCCATACTGCACCCAGCCCAAAACTCTGCCTCTCAACCAAACTCACAGCCCATCCTCCATTGCAGCTCATATTCAACTGGAGGAAAGCCCCAAATTTTCAAAAAAATCCCCTAGAAAATCAACGCGCCGCAACCCTACCACCCAAGCACCCCACAACTTATCAAAATGCCACATCCCAACCCACATCAATTCCCAATACGCTCAAATGTCGAAACCCGCCACAGCCCAGAGAACCCAACGTACTCCACACTTGGACACCGCCCCCTCGCAAACCAATTTTCCGATCAGATCAGCTCCAACGCTCCAGGCCACCTCACGGAAAGTCGAATAAAGCCACGGAACAAAATAAAGGCGGTGGGCTAAAGGCGAAGTTTCGTAAAGGAATGATTTCGCCAAGGCGAAGAATGGGAATGATTGATGATGATGGTGTTGATGATGGACTGGAGAACTGGAAGCTTAACGGCGGTGGAGCCCGGTGCTAGCTGCAACAAAGCGAAACAGAAAGCTTCCTCGCACGCAACCAAAGTATCTATCTACCTAATTAATCCCTCCAGGCACTCGCGATGAGAATGGAAAACATCATCATCGTAATCATTCACCGGCCGGCGAAAACGGCAACCAAAAGTTAGCGGTACGGGGATCCCGCGCGGTTCCATGGAACTTGCGCGGTCACTCTGCCAATCCCAAGCTCGCAGAACGCTGCCATCGCCCCGTTGGGGATGAGCTCCGATCCCCCCCAACCTCCCGCAAGCCCTAATAGCAGCTTCTAACCAGGAAAAGACAAGAAGGCTCAGCCCCACCGATGCGGCGCTTCATTCATCCACTCGTCTATTCATCCATGGGAGACACGTTTTCATTCATTCATCCGGAATCCTCTGACTCGGAGACTTGGTCTCGTCCCTGGCGAGGATTTGATTCCATTCGATTCAGCTCTTTGTGCTCTCCTGCCTCCTCTATTGGTTTCGGGTTTTTGGGATGACGTGGCGTTTCGCCTACTTCTGACTGGTTTCACACTGTTGAGGTGCTTTGTGTTGTGGATATTTTAGGGCTTGGGGGGGGGGGGGATAGAGCGTGGTCATTCTGAAGCATGACTTGCTGGATTCTCTGGGATGCTGACGTGGCGCGGGAATTCGTGATCTAAGTTCCACCTTAGCACTCCCTCACTCTCTTTTCTTGCGTACAATGAGTGATGTGAGAAAAGAATTGAGCTATTTACTGTATTGACGAAGATTGGAGCAAAAAGGCACACACACACACACGAATTTATATACAAATATACAGAATTCCTTTAATTCATGAAATGATTCAAATACCAAGGCTTAAAAAATAATCTTGAAAGAATAATAAGAATCAATGGAGATGCTTGAATATAATGTTAATAATTTTATCACTTGAAAAAATGTTTAATTTATGTGTACACGTGTATACACATGAGTGACCGTGGTAAGAAAATATGGATTTATTTACAATTGTTCAATTTTGTAAAATTGCTCCAAGATGTATAATTGCTGTGCATGAATGAAGTCACCTTACATTAATATTTCATAATCATGTGTTCTTGTAATAATAGTAATGTAACATTCTAAAAACACACACACACACACACACATATATATATATATATATATATATAAGTAAGTATGTTCACTATCAATTTTACTTGCTAATTTTACTATTTTACAAATATATGTAAATCACATTATTATAATTTTAACTTTGAAGTATAAGCACCATGGTAAACGAAAATTTCTAAAAAACATAACACATTCCAAATAACTCAATTAAGAATACATAGATATATAAATATATTTCAATAATGATTGCTTAAAGCTACCAATGCCACTTCATATTAATGTTTACACCATTATTGAATGTCTTCTTCGGCTTACTTCAAGGATTTTTCGCAGGTAAAAAAATAAATGAATATATATATATATATATATATATATATACATACACACACACAAGGTTGTGTTGTTGCTCCCATATATATTTCAAATTTGAAGTATATTTTTATTTTTATTTCTGCCTTTTTTCCTTTTTTATCTCTAAATCATGCAATGGACAATTATTTTTCATTGAGCCAATATTATTATTTTGACAATAAACATGTTTTATCCAATAAATCATTCACATGATGTTTTTTCATTACTTTACTTTAGGGTAAAAAGATTCCTCAAATGAAGACAAATTTCAAATTCGGGTTTGAATAATTATGTGGACCTCAAATCAATTGAAACAGTAAAAGTCGAAAAATAATAATAAAAAAAAACCAACAAGAGTTATTCCCTGCAAGTTCATAATACTGAAGCAAAGGACTTCTAAAAAAAATTGATGCAGCTGGAGAATTTCACTCCGTTTGGTGAAGGAAGAACCAACAAGCCCTAACCATGGCAGTAAACAAGCTTCCATGGACTCGTTGGGGAAGAAGAGGAGCAATCGCAGGGGAAAAAAGGCCAAGTAGCACCGTGACGGTCTGAACGGGGATTAACACGAAGCAGTGTGAACGGAGTTTGATTTGAGGTAGTGTGAACGAAGTTGGATTCAAGTCAGTATGAACGGGGTTTAATTCGAGGCAGTGTGAACGAGAACAAGGCGAGGCTATGCATTAGGGCATTTTGGGGTGGGGGGGGGGGACAGGGCACAGGGCACAGGGGTGGTGCAGTCTGAGGAAGCATTTGTATTGTAGCATTGGAGCTCGGAACACAGTACGAGCAGAAGCGCAGGAGGAGCTATGGCGACCGACACCGGCTTGGAGTCTCTCATCGATCGTATGTGCCCCATCCCCACCCCCTTCCCCCCTTCACTACCGCCAATCTCTCCCCCTTTTGCGATCCAGCTTTCGTTGCCGATCGTACACTGCTGTGTCTTACATGGCTCGGCCAGGGCTTAGGGTTTTTCGTTCCCTTTCTCGACATCTCCTTTCGGAAGTGGTCGATTCTAGCTTCTTAACTACCTGAAGACATAGCCGGGGCTTGATATCGTTATTTACTGTGGATCAGGGTGTGGGACGTTTAATAACTCGGCTGCATTGCGGGTGTGAGCGATTGTTGTCTTGTGCAAAATTTTGGATTTTATTAGGTGTCTTATTTTTCTTGGTGTCCTTTACTGTACGGCATTCTGTTTGTAATGATGAAACTTGTAATTTTTTTTATGCATCGAAAACATTGGCGGGAACGTGTACGAGCAATCTGTTTCGAAATGATCGTTCTCAGATGTCCTCTAAATTCATAAATGTATGTTCTTTAATTAAATTTTCGCTGATTAATGGGGTGAGTGTCTGTGCCATTTTCATAACAATCTGTCTTTATTGACATGAATTTCGGGACAGACGTAGAACAGGCGGATCAAGAATGTTTACCCAGAATTTTTACCAAATGACTAGTGGCTAATCAAGTGCGTTCACATATTGAGTTTCTGTCGTGGTTTCTCGAAGAGGTCTAATTTTGTTTCTGTGCTTTTGGTGGATACTGCAGAGACCATTTCCGTGATAACCAATGATGGGCGCAATATCGTGGTATTCATCTTTCTTTTGAGTTCCCTACACTAGAAATCGCAGTTCGGTACTTCCATCCCTAGCTTGCAGGGTCTTCATAACGCGCGCGCGCGCGCGCGCGCACACCCACACACACGCAGACACATACACCACCCCTCTTTTATTTTATTTTATTTTTTTGGTTGATGTTGTGGTATGCATAAATATAATTCTGCCGTTAACCTTTTCTTTATTGTACAGGGTGTGTTGAAAGGTTTTGATCAGGCTACAAACCTGATATTGGATGAATCACATGAGCGTGTGTATTCTACTAAGGTATATCCGATTGGTGTAATCCTACGAATCCTATATTTTTACGGTTGTATTTGCTGCCGTAGCATGGCGAATTTGAAGCTTGACCAACGGGCTGGGTTAGTCGTGTCTTTTCTTAGTAATGGTAGCATCCATGTTTTAAGGTTGTTTTGTTCGATACAGGCTGGTGTGGAGCAGGTTGTGTTGGGTTTGCACATCATCCGAGGAGATAACATGTAAGTGCCTTTTGTGGACCCATTTTATTGTGTGATGGTTTGTGGTATGCTCATTGTCAACACTGTATGTTCTGAAAAGACTCGCTGTTCTCATCCAATGGGTGAATTATCGTTTAGTCTTCATCACGTATGGTTTGGAATGGGTTGGTTGTTATAGAGGAGTGGTCGGCGAATTGGATGAAGAGCTTGACTCTAACCTCGATTTGAGCGCACTCCGAGCACATCCGCTGAAAGCTGTGCAGCACTAGGACATTCTTAGCACTCAAGGTATGGTGTCTGCTTATGTCTGCCTGCAAATGTTTAGAAGATGTGGACCACTCCGTTTTATAACTCTGGTCTTTCGATTACTTTTTTGATATGAATTAATTACCTACTTCTCGTTTTCCCATTCCGTAATGGCATGTGTTTCAATGTTGAATTTGGTATGTTTTCTGATCTTTTATTTTTCAGGAAGTGATTGAGGAAGTCAACGCGGATTTGGGACATGCTGGAAGGGAGGGCCATGTGCATCCAAAGAATATCTTTTTAAATATCTTAGTTCACCTAGCACATATATCTGATACTTGGTTGTCGGTGTCGTTGAAATACGTCGATGACGCAGATAGGTATTATGCTCAGCAGGATAATTTTGAGGGTTGGAGAAAGCCAGGTGCCGCTTTAGCATTGTAGCATCACAAGAGCGTTGGCTTTCCCCTATGGGTAGATTTGGAATGTATCATTTGAAGTCGGATTAGACCAAAGTTTGTACACTGAAGTCATTGGCATGTTTTGTGAGTAAATGCTCTACTTTTTGTTTCAGCTGTCGCTTGTTGATCTCTTCATTATTTAGAGCTTATGATGCATCAGTAATGCAGCCAGTGTAAATTTGTGTATCTCTGCGTGCACAAAGGAGTGTCAGTCGTACTACTTTTTGTGGTTAGTCAAATTGAAGTCGATGGTTTAAATTGCTCGAACTCCAGTCCTTACGAAGTTGATTTGGCCTTATTGCAATCTTGTCTGAAACCACCCATCTGTGAAATCCCTATCAACAGAGACATCGATGAGTCGTTCTAAAAGGACCATACTGTTTCCAGTTAAATATTACTGATTAAGTTATGTTCGGCAACTTAGGTATGTTTTCCTTTAATCTGCTGCGCGTCCAGGTTTCTCTGACGAGGCATGCTCGAGATACAGACATGTGGCATCTTCAATTTACAAATATGTGTTCAGATTTATGCACAGGTATAGAAACAGGGAACGCTCAAGCAATGAATTGAAAGCAAGGGGAAGTATACGTGGTTCTGAAGCGAACATAGTTTTTTCGATAGGGTTGGAAGAGACCAGTTCTTGTCCACAACCGCTTTTCTAAATTTTCGTTTACCTTCAGGGCAAACACTAGACGAAGCGTGGATGAACTTAAAATCAGCTTGAAACAGTTCTTTGTCAACGCATGTCATGGCCACTTGCCCCGGTTATGCCAGCAAGATGATACTTGAATCAGGTATTGTGACCAGGGTGCTGGATTCGACTAGCTCAAGAGATGGGCCCTGTGACCACCATCACAAAAATGTATACTCAAGTAGTCTGTGGCCTACCAGAAAGGCCACTCGTTGGACAAATCCTTTTTTACACTGCACGTAGTGAATCTTTCAATAGCCGTGACTTTTGCCGCTTGGCAAGCGGCGTGGGGACTGAGGCTTTTTAGGAGAGGGTGCGCATTACCATGCATCCTTGCAAGAATGACACAAAAAGATGGCACAGAGAAAAGCATGTTGTGTTTCTAGCTCGGTTAAGTTTCCTGGATTGTTTTATTTTATATTATTTTGTAATACGATTGTTGGCACAGGCTATGGCAATGGAGGGTGAAGCAGTGGATGAAGAGATTTGACCATTGACAGCGACCTTGTCACAAGGAAATCCTCGCATTCTTGTTGGAGTTAAGTTTCAGGCACGACTTTCTACTACGCGCAATGCAGTCATATCATGAGTAACTAAGTTGCCTTGCTGTGAGTAGGTGTTGAATGTGGACCTCGGTTTGCACTGTAGCTCTATGTCAACTTCGGTTTCTAAGTGATTGACTTGAATTTGCCCTGCATTATTATGATTTCTTGCTGCTCTCCACGGCAATCACAATTGCGCCATGCAGATTGATGTAATGACTGAATGATTTAAATTTATTTTGCATTACTGTGTGTGCCTGTTACTCTCTACTGTGACCCAGTTGTTCACGTCCTCGTACAGGAAAGCGTTTATACAATTGACTTCAATGTTCTTCCGCAACAGAATGTTATGTATTCTTTTTGTTTGACGACTGTATCCGTGTTGTAGTGGTGATGTTATCCGCATGATCTGTATTACGCTTTCTTATTAGTATACTGAAGCTTCAATACGGATCACATGCATTGTGTTTTTCTTTTCTTGTAATGCAACTTCTTCCTAGATCACCTTTACGGAACCTTCGTTCCCAAGTACATGATTTGTGTGTTGTTATTTTCGTTGTTTAAGGTACTTGGTAGATAAGTTGTACCTTTCCAACCCCAACATTCAGTTCTACCCCAAGTTCATGTGACTAATTTGCCTGCATCAACGTTCATATATCATCGCAAGCCCTAATTTTGAGCCTACAGGTATATGTTTCTATTCACGATAACATTGTATCAACACGTCAAGGAACAACTGTGTTTGCGATTCAACCTGCACATTCTTGACGGTTACATTCTATGCATGGAAGGGAAACTGTACATTTTCTAAGTTCTTGTCCTTCCACACCCATGCTTGTAAATCCTCATAGCCCTTGTTCGTCACCTACTAGAATGCAAAATGAAAAAGGGGACTTCTCACAAATGCTGGTGGACTTTTAAATTCACATTTAAAAATTTTAGGAAAAAAAATATTTTTCTAATTTTTCATAAAATCCAAATGACTAAACTACCAAAACGAATGCTGACAATGGCATGAGAATATGTATGCCTGAAGGCAAAGCGTGATAAGTCGCGAACAGTTGAGCTCAAGTACAAAAAGTGCTGAACATTGACTGAAAACATTACAAGTAACATATACATCAACAAGGTGCACAGGGAAAACGGATCCCAACAATCAATTTTAGGAAGAAACCAATTCCATTCTTCCACCACCTTCCGGTGCCTTCCGTACACTGATGCGCTGGTCAAGGAACAATGATGCAATTCCAAAAGAACCCAAATGAACCTTAGAGGTTACTATTCGATAAAACCAGAAATGTACAACTTGACAATACCCTTCCATCATCTGCTTCATTTGAGTTACCTCTCGTGGCATTTCAGAAACATTTTCATGAAGTTTATAATCAACTAGACTACTCTGATCTACCACGCCATGAGAGGAGCTGACGTCGTTCATCCTGGTATCTTCCGATAGTTGCAGACAGGCAATCATCTCCAAGATGACTGCACACATTCAAAAATATCAGAGGTAGAAACACACACAAGAATAGCAGTACATAAATGGCCACTGAAAGCGGCCACCTTAACAAATGAGAGATAAAAGGATACGTTAACTTGCGTGCAGTAAGAGGCATCCAGTCGCGAAAGATGAAGGCATTAGATGGAGGCCTGAGAGAGAGCACCACATCCACAGAAATCAAGTGTGGTCGTTTGAGTCGCTTCCATTTCGAGTGTCACCAAATGCGGACATATTTCTAGGTTCAGAGCCACCAATCCCACCTGCAACAGAAAATGACATCTAGCAAAAGTGACACAAGTGCCAGTTGTGTGTTTTGAATAAGCATTTTGAAAGTTTGTGGATAGTGGAGCTTGATCATTTTATTAGCATCGGCTCTATTGGTTCTTTGCAGTGGTTTAAATTGTCGGTAATTTAGAGGGGATCAAGATATTTTTTCCAATGTTATTAATGGTAAGATGCAAGCCGAGGAAGACAAAAAAAAAAAAAAAAAAAAAAAAAAGAAAAAAAAAAGAAGTTGTTGCTTGCACCCTTTGTCATGCATTACGATATCATGGGAAAGTCGAGGGTGAAAGTGTGCTAAATGTCCTTCTCGGTTTTCTTTGAACATGTAGTCGGTGCAACGATTCTGCAGGAAAGAATCGAGGCATGTGGTTATCATCTTTGAATGTACGAGAGAACGTTGTGACGCCGGTGTTGGAGGGCGAACGAGCTTCCAGATGTGGCGAGGAGCCGTGCATCTGAATATCAGATGTTTTAAAAATCATACTAGTCCCAACCAACTTTCTACTATAAATCACATTACTCCTGTGCTGTCATATATTGGACTCCACGGATCCATCGAAGGTTGTGAAAGAAAATCTAAAAAACAAGACGAACACTGCTGGAGTTGATTCGATTCTGAGACAGGACAATTCACAGAGCATGTTTTTGAGGGTGTAACTCGGATTCTTGTTGTCAAACAGTTCCGCACTCACCCTCTCGCCCACCACGAAAATACAGGCGCCAAGAGTTAAACACAGCACGGAGTGCCTATCACGGGCCCCGCATTTGCAAATCTTACATGGACGGTCATGCAGAAAGTTTTCACACTGGCCGAATTTCCAAACATGATAGTGGCGAAGGGTCCAGGAGGGGAGAAGAGAAGTGGGGAAAGTAAACAATAAAAGTAAGAGCTGGGCTTGATCAAGAAATATGGGTGCCAATTTTTGCTATCGATAGCAAAATGCAAAACCAAAGAGCTCAACAAGGAAAGGAACTGATTTGCTGCGAGAGAAAACACATCTTTTTACGACCAGCCAAGCACGCTTACGAGGTCTATGAGGAGTATCGATGATTCAGAAGATCGGCGGACGATCAGGAGATCGATGTTGACTCCAGGGCAGCAGTGTCAGGGAGCTCATTTGACAGGAGGCATTTTTTTTCGGGAGCAAGCTTTTTTCTGGCGCTACTACGGATGTTCTCATTGGATCAGCATCGAATCCATACATTGCTCAATTTGATCTGAGTATATGTTGTGATCTGAGTCCTTGATCTGAACGCCGATTGCTGTTCCGTCTATTGCTCTCCAAAGCCTCGAAAGGATTTTGTACGAGTGCCCAATACAAGTTATTAATATCACTTCCTTAACGATGTCCAAAGTGGCGTGGTCTGTTTGTTGTAAGAAATTTGAAGGAGGGCTTTGTATTGTTGATCTTGAACAAGCCACCGAAGCACTCTTGTCCATATGGGTGTTGGTGGCATTTCAACCAATTCAAGCAAATATTGAACAATTTATTAAATTCAAATTGATAAACACTAAAACTTAAGTTTATGGGACTAGGATTCCACATCTGCTGTAGTCACTCATTCCAAATCATAAATGGAGTGTGGGATTTAAAATGTAGAATATAGATGAAAAAGTATGGACACATATGTATATGTTTTTTCCACACAACCCCCTACTTTCTTTCACAACATGTGGAATTGTTTCTTATGGTCAAACCTATAATTTTGTTTAATTGAAATCCATCTATAATCCCATCAAGTTGCAATTCTCTACTCAATCAATCTTCATTGTGTTGAAAATATCTTTAAAGGGACTATGAATTATCTTATTGTGAATGAAGCAATATCTACATATCACATTTCTTTGTTTTATAGCTTTATGTGGGATTTTTTTCTACATTTATTTTTTAACTTCTTAGAAAGACACTCTTTTCAAGGATAATACCTTTCCAAAACTCTAGGATTGGATTGAATTATGTGAATTAAGTTTAGATCATGTGGTATTTCAACTCACTTATGATTGACAACTCACGATCTTCTGTATCATTGATACTCCTCATAGACTCCATTAGCATGCATGGCTGGTCATAAAAGATGTGTTTTCTCTTGCAACAAATCAATTCTTTTCAAAATTTGGAAAATAGCATGTTTAGATGCTCTTATGATTGACAAATAGCATGTTTAGATGATGTGGTATTTCAACTCTCTTTGGAATATGTTGGCATTTAAGGAAACTATTGGTTTTTTATAACTTACATCTTTCAAACAAAAATAAATAAATAGACATTTGATCTAGAATATTCCATTGTGGTGATATTTTTTTTACTCAAACAATCTTTAGAAGACAAAAAGAATAAATTTATTTTCTTTGGTCTTGACTTTTCATTTAATTAGATAGATACTTAGTCCAACCTTTGTTCTTGTAAAGAAACTATATGTTAATTGGACTTATATGGCACAAAAGAATAGAAATAATACATAGAGAGGAAAAAATAAGTTCTAATATTCATATTTATTGTGCTATTTTTCAATCATAAATGCATAAAATATTTTCAATAGAGTTTGGAATTGTTATTAAGCTTGCTATATGTAGGATTAGACTACCTCTCTTTTATAATAAATTAACATCCAATCTTTATAATTAGAATCTTTAAAAATCTGTTATTTAAAAAATAAGATGTTTTTGATAAACCTATTCTCTCTAGATTCAAATATTTTTGCAAGATTGGTCTTTGTCTATGGACTATATGAATTTAGAGAAATAAATTTGTCTTTGAAAATAAAGTTTGGTATATATTCCAAACGAGAAGCATAGTTTAGAAAAGTCTAATCAAATACAAATAATTTTATTGAAAATTTATCAAAAATAAATTAGCAAAGCATTTGCAACATGAAGCTTCTCTTTTTTAAAAATGAGATTAATAGATGGCAAACATATACTTAGCACCAAAAAATAAAATTAATTTAAATAGAATTCCAAAATATATCAATGCGGTGTGATCATATACAAAAATATAAACAAGCTTGCTTTGATCACTATTTCATGATACTTGCTACAAAGGCATATTCTTAGCTCTACCTTTGGATATAAGGAAAAATATCTAAAGGCATGGCTAAGAATACTTCATATTAAAAGATCTTAAAAAACATTCATTAATATAAAAAAAATTATAAAGACATCATAGAGCTCAACAAGGTGTTATTATTATTTTTTATTCTACCATATAATCAACTATTTTAAGCAACTATAACAACATAAAATTTTAGAATAACAAGTAATTAAATATAAAAGTAATTAGAATATATTAGATGAAAATTTTTAAAGAAAACTATTGCTATTATGGAAAGTATAATATTATCACAAAGAAGGAAAATAAATAAATCATTGGTGTCATTTTTCTAAGTTTTAAAATTTTATATAATAAAATAAAACTTACATTTTGGTCCACAATTATCTTAAACTACAAAAAGATAGCATGTTGGTACAAAGAGGTTAATAGTTCAAATCACAATTAAGAATTCTCTTAAGTGATGTTAACAGTTGCTAGCATAGAAAAAAATGACTATCTAATGTTTAAAAAACAAAAAATAAAACCACATAAACAATAAAACTCACATTTCATAGTCTCTTCGTGGAACATGTGGTTCTAAAGCCCCTTCACATGAACAAAGAAGCTCATTATTAGTCAGAAACGTGTACATGAAACATTAGTTTTAATGCATATCTTCCCCTTCTCACAGCCCTTCGATCCAGAAGAAAAGATGGATCGTTGTTGAGCCCTGCAAAAGCAACGGTAAGAGAAACAAGACAATGACAATTTGTTGCAATGCCGGGTCATAGACAAGTTATAAGCAGTCATAGTGTGCGGAAATGGAGGGGGGGATGCACTGTCACCACTACCGACCTTCATAGAGAAAGCAACAAGACTCCTACGTGGAAGTCATACGTGGCAGAAGAGGTGATGAGCTGGAACGGCACGTCAGCACGTCTAGTAACAGTAGGAACATTCGGAACATTAGGGCTGCATCTGGCACTTGCAGTGACTCACACTTCCTTCATATGCCCACTCCAAAGCCTAGCTTTCTCCCAACTCGCGTCTTGCGGCTGCATTGCTCGTCGTGTTCGTGAATCATGAGGGCCAAGGTACCTGCTGCCTGTCTTTCTCCTTGATACCGTCATGTTTGTGTCCCAAGCTGTTTATTTAGATTTCCTTCCCTGGTGGGTTTTGTGAGTGGTATGATATGTCGGTGGTGGTGTGAGTTGCTATGGTTCCGTTAGGTTTCAGCCTGGTGCAGTTTGTCATGTTCCTTTTTTCTGCCGTTAAGATCTCGGTTCGCTTAGACTATGTTTTACTCTGAGTTCTTACGTGTTACAGAATTGTGCACCGAGTTCTTTGCTAGTTATTAGGTTAGGGTAAGAGTCAGTACGATTGCAAGTGGGTAGTGGTGTGAGTAGTTTCCGAGTGGCTGTCTGTCAAGTTGTGCACTACCGTGCTAACCTTTCCCTTGTGTCATTTGGCAACAGTGGAAGAAAAAACGTATGAGGCGCCTGAAACGCAAGCGCCGAAAGATGAGACAAAGATCCAAGTAGGCGTGTGGTAGTCTGGCTACTGTGCTGGAGGCAGGAAATCACTACACATGTTGGTACGAGTCGCACCGATCGGTTAGATTATCGAAAGCTTAGGATTAATAATCGTAGCACGGTTCATTCGGAGGCAACTGTAGTAATGGAGTTTTCGCTCTGCTAGTATGAGATATGTATGGGGGGGACGCTACGCTTCATGATTAAAAGTGAAACACATTGGTTATGAGATAACGACATGTGTTTGCAGTCTTTTGACACATGCCTAAACTATCTTGTATTTGGGGTGTCCTGCTTGCGTCGTGCACTGCGTCTGTTGAGGAATATTTTTAAGTATGTCTGGAATACTTAGACCAGTGCATTGTGCTGAATGGTACACTTTGATTTTATCATTGATGAAGGGACTTGAGTAAAAACTTTGATTGTTTTCCACTGTATAATACATCTTGTTTGTAACTAAATTAGTTCGAACAGTTATTTTATCCTCTTCCCCCATCAATTTCCCCTGCAAATGCTTTTTTATGTCATCTCTAACATTTAACATCTTATTGAACAACTGCGATTGTTACATACCAATTTCTACTCTGTCCCAACTTATCAATGAACATGTATATATATATATATATATATATGTGTAAATATGTATATAAATATATGTAAAAATAAATACAATGAATGAGAACAAAGTCGCAGCCACCTAACAAATTGTGGGCAAATCCAAACCCTCACCCTAAACTTATAAACATACTGTAAAATTGAGCATCATTCTACTTGTCACTACATTTTAAACCACAAATATCGATAATTTATGCTCCACATACTATTGCCAGTAATCCACTTTTCTTCACCCGGAAAAATGAATTATCTCTTAGACGTAGACAGTAGCAATCTTCTCCGGACAATAAGAAATGTTCTGTAAGAAATCTGTCACGAAAAGCCATAACCTTGTGTCTGATTTAAACATCAAGACCTCATAGAACATATATCACAGTAAATTCCTAGGCGAGTTGCACCGTCCATCTACTCCACAAACCGTATCTCCGTACTTTTCATTACAATGCAGAAAGTATTCAGTGCAGCGAGCATCGCTTCTCCTCGATCAGCCTTCTATAGAAATACTACCCACCTGATCACCTCCATCTTGCGAATAAAGGAATGGCATTGTTTAGACGTCGTTCTAAATTAATTCTAGAAGGATTGAAGTACCGATCTTTCCATAATACGTAACTTGAATCAACCTCGTCACTGAGTAAGACAAAAATGTAGAGAAACTAGCCCAAGAAATCGATTCCTTACAGAACTATGAATACGTTCATGGTAAGCATTACAGTTTTTGTAATAACAACGAAGCTTCGGTAGACATTCATGTGTCAATCTTAACGAAAGCAGATTCTGCAAGATCAATTGCACGAGCAAGCCCAGCAGCCTTGTTCACCGTCTCCTGGTACTCGCTCTCGGGGTCACTATCCGCTACTATTCCAGCACCAGCCTGTGAACAAGAGCACACTACAATTTCAGCGTACAGAAATCATAAGAAAATAGATAACTGGCTTTCAAACTAAGTCTGATACTTATTAAATCAGGATCGTTTAGGATTGCAAAGAAGAGATTAGACCTGTAGGTGGACAACCCATTCTCTGCGGCTATTGGCCTGTTTGTAAGAATACATCGTGTCGTTCCTTTGCGTCGGGAACACCATTGTACGTAGAGCTAATGCAATGTCCATCTGCCCAGTGAAGGAGACGCCGCCAATGCCACCACTGTAAGGGCCTCTTCTAGTTGGCTCTAACTTGTCAATTAGCTCCATCGCCCTTACCTATCACCATGTGTGAAGTCAATTTAGAACTGTTTCCATTTCATTCAAGTTTTTTGGATCGAAAAGACTCAGGAAACGTGCCTACAAGTTTCAGAAACTGTGTTGCATGAAAGGTTAAACGTCCAACATGTGAATTAGAATGGTGACGATATAATTTTTGAAGGATATAACATTAATCACATAATTTCAAAAACACCAGTTCCGCTGCATCAACAATGGCGAAGGGTAGAAAGGACAATTACCTTAGGAGCCCCGCTGACAGTGCCGACTGGCAACGCTGCTCGTAGTGCATCCCAACTAGAAAGCTCGTCCAACAGCTCTCCTGTAACCTGTGCCCTCAAAACATGAATCCCATAATCTACTAGCAAAATGGGTGTTTCAATAAAGAAGGGGTGTCCCAAACCCTTTGATATGCAACAAACCTAATGTGAATTGGAACAATTTGGTCAAAACAAGGACGACAAAGGGAGGTGAATTCGACATTCTCTATTCAAATATCTCTGTAATATCAAGACCAACTATAATGTGAAATGGTGTGGAATGGAAAACAAGAGTTCTCTTGTATAAAACCTCAGTACACTATATCAGGTGTAGGAGGAAACGAAAGCGTCCCAGGCTTGAGTTAGGCTAGGATAGATACCAAGATCACAACTAGCGCTATGAAAAAAACATAACTACAGAAAGTGTCCGCAATCTTCTTGGAGAAGAGGTCCATCTAGGTGTCTGAAGATGACAGATTAATATAAAGATCACAGGGGAGGATCAGTACCGTGGAACTGATGTGCATCACGTGTGAATACCGCTCCACCTCCATCAACTTTTCAACCTTCACCGTACCCGCCTTGGAAACCTGCAAGTTCAACATCCAGGACTATAAATTACCTTTTCCCAGTGCCTGCAACTTCGGAGATTAGACATGGTGCTGACCATGACATTAAACTCGACAACATTCCCACATTTTGAATAGCAAACCTCGTCTTCTCAAACATAACGTCTTTGATATAAATTAGTAAACTGTAAACAAACGGAGTGAGTTATACCATGTCCTCCATCTCCATGGCCATGTATGTACACATTAACAGGCCTCATAGACGTGAACTAAATCCTTGGGAGAAACTTCGAAGGCATGGAGCTTTACCTTTCCAACATCATTGCGACCTAGGTCCACAAGCATGACGTGCTCCGCACATTCCTTCTCATCTGCTAATAAATCCTTCTCCATCGCCATGTCTTCATCTGGCGTCTTCCCTCGCCTGCGTGTTCCTGCTAGTGGCCTGTTCACCACAGTCCTCTGTTTTGCGAAATACCCAGGTAAGAAATACTCATTAACACCTCTAAAGAAACACAAACAGCCGACATATATGAGTCAGAGAAAAATAAGACAAGAATTACTCCAGACACAAGGTAGAAAAACTCCGTAAAAGGAAGCTTGAATACTCTTGGGTTGAGTCACATATGTAAATTACCTCTGCAATGCGGGTAAGTATCTCCGGACTAGAAGCCACCATTATGGCACCCCGTGCCTGCATCAAAGAACATTTCCAATGAAGTTGATAACGCGTCCTAACTGGAAAGAAGGGAGTTTAGGAAGACGTGATCGAAAGCTTCAAAGCAAAAGCAATCCAGAGGATTTTTAAATTATGAAACTAACAATCTCTGCTCTTCTCTTGAGCGACTGCAACAGCTGTAATCACTTCGTCATTTTCTACAGTAAACTTTACTACACTTAATTCACGCTATGTTCCAAGGATGTTAAGAGAGGCAGGTGACACACCTGAAGGTAGATCATGTATGGACTAGGATTTACGATACGCAGAGCCCTGTAAACCTCAAAAGGGTCTGCAAATGTTCGCCTCTCAAACCTCTGGCTCAAGACCAGTTGAAAAATGTCACCTGCCAATATATGCTCCTTCACTTGCAAAATAGAATCCTTAAATTGCTCGGGGGTATAATTTGATTTAGCTGTTCTCTGGCCACATTGTCCAATGGACAATTCCACCGATCCACTTGAAAGTTTGACCCTTGAAACAAGACAGAAAGCGAGTATGTCAAAACTTGAGAAAGTTGCAGTAAACAGGCAAAAAGGACCTTCTAGGACTAGAAAATCCATCTAAACCAAAGACAAAAGAAAACACCATGCGACAGGCAATTCGACTTGATTGTTAAGAAAACTATAGATCTAGAATATTTACGGAGAGGGTCAAAGCTGGTACCCTCCAGGGGTTTGTAGGCGAGCCACCAAAAGCTCAAGTCTTTTACACCCGTCCTCGTAAGCGGACTCAGGGCTATCAAACCGGTCCACATGAACCCAATGTAACACATACACCAACTGTTGCAACCACAATCAGTCCAACCTTTACTAAGTCTTCTGCATTGTGTGAACAATGTACTAGCATAAAAGAACCACAGACACACACAAAAGGCTATATATATATATATATATATATATAAGAGTGAAAAAAGTTGGTAATTTGTTACAGGGACTAAAATAACAAACTCAGGACATAATTGTTCTGATATAGCACTAGGATAACACATGATTTAAAAAGTATACGGGCTAGAATAACACCTTAGTCACATGATCAAAAACCAGTACATCGTTGTAAAGTCCAAGGTGGATGTCAGGTAAACCTCGATCATCATTGGGTGCTGAAGAAAAGGGCAATTTCTTTTTCTCCACATACCTCACAGTGTCATATGAAAAGTACCCCACCCATCCTCCTGCAGCCATGCTCGAAGATATCAACTACAAACTCCCGCTCATGCTATGGAATATGAGAATGTTTAAGAGGAAAGATTACAACTCGGTGCTCAATAAATATCAGAGCACGCAGAAGTATAGTCTCAGTGCTTCTCTACAATGATTTGGTAGGACAATTATATCAAAAAGAAAGAAGAATACGATATGAAGGACGAGTTTATCTTATTTATGTGGTCACATGGTAAAACATCGAAAGACGCGCTAGCAGAGCGTGAACTCGTCAGTGTTGAACCATACCACAGAAGACATCCGGAAGACTGTCAATCTTCACTGGGTTCCACTTTGATGCAATTTCTTGGGGCTCGTTCAGGGGATTGTCAGATTGCTTCTCTATACGGGTACCTTCCTCGTGATTCAATATGATGATGCGATCCTCTTTTCCAATGATCTCCATTGAAGGCTGAGCTCCGACCATGCTGAATCTTCCCTGTCATCAAACCACTCTAATGTCAGGACATCTCGTGCTTATAGGAACACGATTACTTTTTACCTTGTCCATGCATGACTTACTAGTCAATGCTGCTGCAACATGTATAGGACTACAAATTCCTCTTCAAAACCGTAGCCAAACGCTTCGTAAGACTTGCTTTGTTAAGAAGATGACAAAATGTATGGAAACATTATACTTCCCAGGCACTCGACGGTTGTATCCACTTCAGAGGGAATAGACAAGAATGAGATCTTTCTTGAATGCGTACAAATCATGAAATTATAAAATTATGGGCGTGACGAGGTCACAAGTACAAAGCATTAAGAATTGCAGACTATCGGAGTTCGCAACGAATGACCACATTCACAGGCTGATAAATAATTCCAATGAAGAAAGCATCCTCAAGACATCCTCAACTCACCATATTAATGCTTTTCCCATTTTCAACGGACTCAAAGAGAAAGGACGGAGCTTCTCTGTCATCCTCTTTCACTAAGCACCGGTATGCCAATACTGGTGTGAGATGATCAGCGAAAATGCGCCGATACACCGGCACCAGGTTTCCTCGTTGCGCAGCCTCCAGAAATTGAGATCGTCCTGTAATAATTTTAAAAGGTAAATATATCATCTACCTCCAGGAAGTGCGACTTGAAAACGACACCCGGGGAATTTATAACATTTGCACAGACTGCAAATCATTTCTGATGCTCTCATCTAAAATCAGACTTCACAACCCTTAAACCCTAAACCCTGAATCATGAAGTTCAAGCAGAATACAAATATTACCCAGAGTAGACTCTTGGTCTTCAATAGCTGGTGCATCCACCGCTGTTTTTACAGCTCGGCATGAAATAACAGGTTTAAAAGATCCTAGCGAATAACCGCCAATCTGGAACAAGTTCACTTTAAGAATCAACCTCAAATCTCACAACCTTGAGCATTTAAAACAATTCTCATAGTACACTACAAGTTAATGCTGAGGCCGCAGGGCAAACCTGACCAAGTTATCGCAAATTTGGTTCGACATTTGATTGCATAAGAGAACAACGCGACATCACTTTCTACAATTCATGATCTCGATAAATTTCGTCAGTTGCGCAAATTTTGAGTAGAAAGAATGTCAGAAGCAGCAACAAGCGTAATCACCCTGCAGTCCGCCGTGTGTATCCACACCTAACAACATATCCCCTATGCAAAAAGAGATGCAAACGTCGGCAGCTGTCTCTTCACGAACGACTTTTTAGAAAAATTCCACTGAACTGTTATAAAAAATACCATAAGTCCAAACTTTTGAAGGCAAAACCCTCGAGACAAAGTAACACGATTCCAGCAAGGAAAGCATGCGCACAGAGTCAAGGACTCACAGAAGCTCCATTTCCAAACTGCTTCAAATGCCCGCCCTTCTTAGTGTTGGAAAACATGCATTCCTTAGCACTGCTGCTGTGTTGATGTCTCTCTGCCGCTACATGTGTCCCAATCCCTACGCCACTACAGCGCGCAGCACCACGAACAAAAATGCACTCCATCGCCTCCTTCCCTCAGTGCTTACTCGACAGTAAACACAAGTTCACAGAGGCCAACCATGCAGTAGCTGTAATCTACAAGCTCCCTAAAGCCCTGATACCATCTCCCTCGCATCCGAGGAACTGCGATTGGCTGCCAACCAAATGACAGAAGACTTTAATCTCAAACCGCAACCATCACAGAGGGGATCCACAAATCAAAACTGCAATTTCAGTCGCACAAGTGCTACCAATCCAACTGCAATGCCGGACTATGTTAGTCTGGTGGTAAGCCCCTTTGCGGTGCTTTGTTGTGAGATTCTGAGTCTAGGTCACGGCGGATCCACAGTTCTTTTTTCTTTTTTTTTTTTCTTTTTTTTTTTTTTCCTTGAGCTTCTTTTTCTGCTTCTTTTTTTATCCTTTGTATGATTTACAATCTGAGAACGGGAAGCTTCAGTTTCGGTACCACACTTGGACTATGACCTCTTCACGTAGATGTAGAGAACATCAGATTTGCGTTATTTTCTTTTGTTTTTTGCAACCTGGTGCAGTTCATTTGTGGGTCATGACGTTCACTTGAACGGAGAATATCTGGATTGGTATGGTGAAGCTAATAAAATTTAGATATAGTTCATGTGTTGAATTTCGTTTTGAAATGTTGTCCAATTTGTGTGTTTGAGAAAGTTGAAGAAAAGGTCCATGATGGTGTGTTTTAACCAACACGACGAGTATGGTTCAAACACAAACACAAGCATGGTGTATTCAACTGCTACAGAGAAGAAATAAACATTTTGTTAAATAAACTATTTGTCATATTATGTTTATTTTGTTAAATAATTTTGAATATCATATATAAAAAATAGACATTTTGTTAATAGTTTATCATGTATGATATTCCAAAATTAAACTCAAAATTTTAAATTTTAAATTGTAAAATGTTACTTTTAACATGAAATTTTAGTAAAAAAATAAAAGTAAAAAGAAAGAAATAACTAAGATAAAAGAGAAGTTGTCAATGAAGATGAAACTAAATTAAATAAGTTATGTTTTGATACTTAGCATCCAAGGGATTTGGCAACTTAAAAGTAAAAAGTAAGAATGTAAAATATTTTTACAAATCAACTATTTTTTTTAAAAATAACTTCCATTTTTATCAAAGGAGTCAAAATAATAAAAGTTGTTTACATGTGCAAAACATTTAACTTAGAACATATTAAATTCTTAAACATAACTAGTTGTATGCCTATAATAAAACAAATTAGAAGTTGAAGATTAAAATTTGTCACTAACTTGACTTAGATTTTTTTTGTAGAATTCTGATGTGAACTTGTCAAGTTGGATTTATACCAAGTATTTAAGTATCAAATTGAATATGGCTCTAATAATGTGCAAGTGGATTACAAAATTGATCTTAAGTTGTTTATTGATTAAACTCTAAGCCCTAAAACCAAATTGTTGAGATTTTTCAAATCTGTTACAAGATTTATTAAGAGTATACAATATATTGTAGATTGCATCTCTAAATTTAATCAAAATCATCAAAAAAACCTAGATTTAATAAGAAAATTTTAGTAAGTAAGTAAAATAAATAAATAGATATATATAAAAAAAATTATAAGTTTATCATGTAACAAATCTAAGCAAAAAAGGTTTAACAACAACAAAAATCACAACATGCAAGAAATATTGGAAGTTAAGTAGAAAAAATAGAGATGTTATTTTTAGGACAAATATTTCTAAAATTAGAAATTTGAGGTTTTTTATTTGTAGATCAAATATCAAAGGATTTTAGTTGTAATTCACTTATTATATTTTTAGTGACTTTATAGTACATTATAAATACTTATCCATTATAAAAACTAATTAAATTAAATTAATATGTCTATAAATTTTTTTCTTATGTATCATGTGTTTAATAAATTCTAAAAAAAGATCAACTAATTTGACTTCTATTGATTCGTCAATTATATCTCAATGTCACAGACATACGCATGTAAGCCAGTAATTACCTATATAAATAAGTAGAAGTAAGTAGAAGAAGGTAAAAATAAGTTAATTCTATAATATCTTCTATGGAAGCTTTTTAAAAGCTTTATAGACACTGTTTTGACTTTATAGGTGTCTTTAATTGACTTTTTGGATTAAAAACGTAGTCAACAAGTTGGCCATGTGCCACACATACTATTAATTTTAAGACCAAGCTAATTATGTGGCCCACACATAGAAAAACTTGCCTTATAAGTCAAGGCATATGTTCTACAAAGTCAACGCACATTGGAAGTCTTATACAACATTACCACATAGCTTCTAATTAGATAGTATATATAGAGACAAGAGTGAAGCCTTCTTCACTCTTGTCAACTCCTTTCTTTCTTCTAGTTTAGTTTGAAGAGTCTTAAGTTTTCTTGTCTTTTGGCAATAAGCTTTTCCAGTTTCTTTTAATATATGTACTTTCTTATTTCTATTTTGTCACTCTTTCTTTGACACAGATTTCATTGATTTATGCATCATCTTTTAATTCATGTCCTTGACAGATTGACAAGAGTACACTTACAGTATCAGAGCTTTGTCTTATCTTGATTAAGAGTGGATTACTCTTTTCTCATGATAAGACATAAGCATATTAGAAGTTATGGATTACCTTCTTCTAAACTGATATTGTTCTTAGTATTTTCTTTATCCTCAACTCCTTTCTTCTACTTAGCTTGAGTGGTATCAGATAGTTTTTTGAGTGTTATTATGGTAGAGCTTTTTGAAATGAAGAGTGTAATAGCACAAATGCAAGAGCAATCGAGGGAGTTGATGCTTGCAATGCATCAACTTAGCTTACCACCACAAGGATCAACAAGAATAGTAAGAAGTGAAGTTATAGATATGATTAAAGCTACTTCAACATCTGCACCAAATCATTTCCCTCCATCCATGGTAGAACATCTTTCAAGTATTAGAAAACTAAGAGTTGTACTGTCCAAGAAGTTTGATGGTATAAGATTTAAATTTCGAGAATTTATCAATCAAGTATAACTTGTGATTGAACTTCAACCTCAAAGCTATTTAACTCCAAGATCATAAATTAGATTTATTGATATACTTCTTTCAAATTCAACACTATTGTGGTTTTCATCTTTTTTTGAACAATAAGATCAAATATTGGATAATCTAGAGGTATTTTTGGCAAAATTTTGGTCCATATATGAAAAACATGATGCAACTCGTGTTCCAACCAATAAGATCCATATTTTGGGAGAAGATAATCGATATGTAACGTTATATGCTTCACAATTTTGACAACTTGCAACTGATATCAAGTGGGATGATGTTGCACTTATTAGCCAATTTCTCTATGGATTACAATATGAAGTAAAGAAATCGATGCTCAACTTTCTTGATCCTCAAACATTGAGTCAAGCAATTGACTTTGCTGTGAAATGCGACAATCGACTTTTTGAATTTTGATTTGAGAGATGTACAAATAGGTCTCAACGTTACTACAATTTGATGGCAATACCAATATCTCGTCAATACATATATTCAAAAGTAGAGGATATGCAAATCAATGTGGTATGTTTTAAACATCTTATCGAGCAAGAAAATATTCATTGTTATCAAGAAGGATTGTACTTATATTGTAGAGAACCTAAACACACTTCTCAACATTGTCTAAAGAAGCAACAAAATCACAAAATGAGGAGCACATCTGTCAAAAAAGACAATGTGTCAAAAAAAAATTTGTCCAGCTACAATAGGGACCGTGTGGCTGGAATCTTATACAATTTCTAATGAAGGTCCTATCTTCTCCTCAAAACCCTCTCTTTATTTTATAATAGATGTATATTTAGGACCTAATAATTATAAAGCCTCCGTCTTGATAGATTTAGGAGCTTCAGCTTATTTCTTAGATGTAGAATTTATTAAAAGTCATAAAATACCATTAGTACAAAAAATCAAACTTGTTCATCCAGAAGTCATAGATAGTTATTTGTTGTCTTTTGGAGATGTTACTCATAAAATAATTTCTATAGATGTAGCAATAAATGGTCATAGTAGTTGCGTAATCTTTAATATAATTAAATCTCTCGTCTAATCCAGTTATTTTAGGTTTATCATAGTTAAAAAAGTATAATTCTTACATAGATTGGATTTTTCGTACCCTTGACTTCTCTAAAAGTATAATTATGAGTGAAAGTAATCCAGTAGAAAGTCATAAGTCTAGTGCAATTAAACCTATGTTTGTAGGTGTAAGAACTTTCTTGCATGTTGCAAAAGAAGGATCACCTTGTGTCATTTATGCCACACCTATTTCTAATGATGCAAAGACTTCAAATGGCATTCTTAGCCAATATCAAGAATTTTAAAATGTATTTGAGAAGAAGAATGTGGATATTCTTTCAAAACATCATCCTTATGACTGCTCAATTGACCTTTAAGAAGGAGCACAACCGCCATTTGGACCAATCTATAATTTATCACAAAATGAATTGGCTGAACTCAAGGAATATATTCAAGAGAATCTGGCCAAGAATTTCATATGTCATTTCAAATCATCAGCAGGAGCTCCAATCTTATTTGTGATGAAGAAAGATGGATCATTGCAGATGTGTGATGATTATTGAGGACTCAATAAGATCACCATCAAGAATAGGTACCCTCTGCCTTTGATATCCAGACTTCTTGATCAATTGAATCAAGCTAAGATCTACACAAAAATAGATCTATATAGAGCATACAATCTAGTACATATTAAAAAAAGAAATGAATAGAAGACTATATTTTAAATTAGGTATGGATATTTTGAATACAATATCATGCTTTTTGGACTTACAAATACACCAGCAGCTTTTCAACATCTAATGAATGATGGTTTTTGAGAGTTTTTAGACCATTTTGTTATATGTTATGTGAACGACATCTTGATCTATTCTAAGAATACAGATGAACATGAACTTCATATTCGTCATGTGTTACAAAAATTAAGAGATGTAGGATTCTATGCCAAGATAAAAAAGTGTATATTCCACACTACTCAAGTCAACTTTTTAGGATACATCATTTCAAATGATGAACTTATGATGGATCCAAAAAAAATTCAAACAATTATAGATTGGAAGATTTCAAAAACGGTAAGAGATGTCCAATGCTTTTTGAGCTTTGTCAACTATTATTGAATCTTCATCAAAGACTTCTCTCAAGTTGCAACTCCACTTACACGCTTGACTTGCAAACACAAACTTGAGTGGAGTAAAGAAGTTAAAGCATCTTTTGAAACTTTGAAGTCAACCTTTATTTCTACACCAATCTTGTATCACAT